GTAACGGCGGCACCAGCGTAGCATCCAGATCTGTCAGAGCGGTGTTCTCCACATTTACCGGGTAGGAAACGTTGGTCCTCCTTTATGTGGTACTGCAGGGCTGAGCGCTTGAAACCGATTCCGAACCGAATCAGCCCGATCGGTTCTGTTGGATTTGAGCTGGGTTGTCACGCAGCACGCTCCGCTCGCTCGATCAGCGACTGGGAGAGAGAGAGGGGCTAATTGTCTGCTCACACAAAAGAGAGGAATGGAGGACACACCTCCAAACACGCATTATTATTTTTATAATTTCATTATTATTTCTCCTCGAGTCTCCAGACAGACCGAGTGTTGTGATGCGGGACATACGGTCGTGGGGAGGGGGCGGGGTCAGTGATGGCGGCTGCAGCGTGATCATCTGTCTCTTTTCTTTAGGGACACAAGGAAGTTAAAGGAGAGAGAAATATAAGATAGAAGTTTCCGTTCCACTTTATTCTTTTGTTTCGTGATGATAAACTGATGTTAAATTCAGCTTAAAGAGAAAGTGGGAGGAAGCTTTGGTTTATTTTAAGTTACAGGAGATCTTGTTTACTATCTGCTCCTCCAGAGACACCACGGACATGAGGGTCACATGGTGAGGGTTCCACATAAATAAACAATCAATGATGAACAAGAGTCTGCTTCTAGACCTGCAAAAAAGGGACACACAACAATACAACTAGAGCAAGCTTTCGCTGCGTCAACGTGATGATGAAATATAAAATCAACATTGTTTAACTGAACAATCACACGATAATAAATCACAGTGCATTTAGTGGCAACCACAGCCTTAAGGCATGTGTTAAACATGCCCATGTCCATACTTATGAGAGCACCATGAGAGCACCTGTGTGTGTACACGCACTTGTTTATGTAAGGTTTCTCTATAGGAGCGTCCAATAGAGAGTGTGAGGGGCCACATATCTGCCCCCAAAGATGTGTTAGAGACGGAAGGAGCTCCAAGTCCCAGAAATCCTGGTGCTGCCCCAGAGCACAGGGACCCCAGGGAGACTGCAACCAGAAAAGCCCCCGCCCCCCTCAAGAGACCCAGAGGATTGCCTCGAGGGGGTCACAACCAGCAGCCGGCAGAGTCCCAGGAGACATCAGCGGCAAGTAAGTAAACTTTATTCGTATAGCACCTTTCCCAGGCATAAGCCACAAGGTGCTCGACAACACTGTAAAAGTTTAAACAAAAAATTAGTAAAATAAAAGCAGTAAATAAAAACAATTTATAGAAATAAATAAAAAACATATCATAAAAGGCCAAGACCACACAGAAAACATAACAGCTCTAAAATAACTAGACGAATGCCTGAACAAATAAATGAGTCTTAAGCTCACTCTTGAACTTGTCAACAGAATCAATAGAACACAGAGTGAGGGGTAGGTTATTCCAGTGCTTAGGAGCTACCCCCCCCCCCCCCGCAGCCTCCCACCCCCTAGCCGGTCGTGCCCGGAACCCAGCAACCCGGGACCCAGTGGCAACTAGCCCCCGCCGGGGACCCAGCAGAGCCCAGGGAATCAGACCCCACCAGGGAGCCACCGGGATTTATCAGGCAGACGCTCACACATACACATACAACCAAAGACTTGCAAAAATGCACGCCGGACACCCACTCATGCTCCCCATACACACCCTATTCACTCTGGTCCGGTACTGCTGCACAAAGGGTACAACCATCACCGGTTACCAGAGTTCGACCCTTTCTGCTGGGGTGCTGATGAGCAGGCTCCCCCACCCAACGCCGAGCACAGCAACCCACCACCCCAGACCCCAACCAGACGGCCAGATCCCTCTCCTAGCCTCCATCCCAGGAAGCCAAGCAACAACAGAGGTGCGCTAAGACCCCTAGTCTCCCTCCACCTGCTTCAATATAGTGACCCCCCCCCCCCCCCCCCCCCCCGTGATGGGACAGCAGAGGAGCCAAGGTCTACCTGAGGCCCCTGAGCCTAGGCCAGGCACTGCCGCATGTTCCCGCCTTCTTCCCTGCAGCATACACGTTAGGACCCGACTCCCAAGGCCCCGCCCAGATCTACTCAGGGGCAATGCAGATGTCAGGCAGCAACCCTCGGCCACCGCCAAGACCCCCAAGGGTCCCCATTCACACATAATCTGGTATTCCTTGAAACTTTTCTTGAAATTCCATGTCTAACTCCTAAGATCCTCCTCCAGACTGGCAGACAACATGTGCTGGCTTGATTTATTTTATAATAAGCATGAAAATTGAAATCCCCTCGTCTCCTAAAGAATCAATACATTTAAGGTGATTTATTGGAAATGAGTAGAGCTGTGTTCACCCATGCAAAACACTTGGTGTTGTTGGCTTTATGCTCACTATCATGGGCCATGTCATGCACCAGCAGAGGGTTTGGCCATGCAGAGACAGAAGTTCGGCTGCTACCTGCAATATTTGACCATGCTGCCTGCCAGGTTTTCCACTGGGTGTATTTCAGTACTTATTATTTATCTTGTGACTTAATACATGCCAAGAAAATATGCCCACTTGTTTATCTATGGAAGAAACTGCATATTTTCACCAAAAGGAAATTTTAGCTGGAAAAGGAAACTGTTAAAATACAGTAAAGGGAGATTTTTCAACAGGTGAAGTCAGACGGCTGCACAAACAATCATACGGGGCATCGAATTCCTTCAATGGCTTTTACAATAAATGAGGATTAAAGCGTGCAGAAAACCATTTTTACATCAATCAATGCATCTGCCTGCAGCTTTCTGATTCAGAAAATTGTAAGAGCCTTAAGTTAGGCATGCGTACAGAACTAGGAATGAAAAGTAGCGACAGCGCTCCAAAGACGTGATCCTGAGGAATATAGCCACAAGCTCGCACACGACTGGTTGGTATTCATGAAAAGTTTGAGGCAAATACAATTAGTCTTCTTTTTTTCTCAGTTGCTTTTTAGTCCTCGGCAATCACACTTTTAGGATGGTAGAGTGCAAGGAAAACTGAGCTGTTTAATGACCCTAACCCTTCACCACCAACAATCCTTAAGACAGGAGTGTGAAAACAACACTGCAAGCCTAACTGCACAGCTGTTTTCAAATCCCACCGCAGCATTTTCACTTCATTGGATGTTACAAATAGGGCTGTGCAATTAATCCAGCTGGTGTTTCGATCTCAGCTCTGACTAATCACAATGAGATGGTATTGACCAAAGAATTATTATTGGGCTTATGTTGTCACATTCAGCTTTGAAAGTGTGATTTTCTTTTGGTTAAATCCCTCGTAAGTTGGAGGGCAGAATGAGAACAAAACACAAATATAGTAAGTCTTAAGCCTCATACACCCAACGGTATACGCCCAGTCATTCTGTACCATGTCGTTCAATTTCAAAGCTCACGCCCTGATTGGGCATTGAACGTCTGCAGCAGCTTTTCTCCACTTTTATAACAATGCTTTTGGTCCAAATTTGATTTGACTGCATACATTTTTTTTCATAAATCCGAAATGTTGTTTGATGGGTATTTACCATTTTTTGTATACATCAGCATCAACTGATATGCTTCTTGTTGTGTCCTTGGTAAGACACTACCTGCCTTGCCTGCTGATGTTGGTCGGAGGGACCGGTGGCGCCACTGTTAGGCAGGCCTCGCCTCTGTCAGTGCACCCCAGGGCAGCTGTGGCTACGCCGTAGCTCATCCCCAGCAGCGTGTGAATGACTGATTCTGTTGTGAAGTGCCTTGGGGGGCTGTAGAACCCTCGGAAGGCTCTATGCAGGCTATTTACCATTCAGTGGAGCCAGTATTAAGTCGAGCACAACTGCGGGAAGCCCTGCATGTATATTTATGTTTCTGAAAAAACATTTGCTTAATAGATGCTTGAAAGCATTATTTTCAATTGAAATTTTATATTTACATGTTTTGTATATGTAATACTTTGTCAGTTTATTTATTTGATTATTTATAAACAAGGTGGGAAAAGCCAGAATATCTGGCATGAAATAAAAAAAAATTGGCAGCACATATCAGCCACCAGCTGATCTCTGCAAGCTGGCATCGGAAATAAAAACCCTATCAGTTCTGATGTTTATGCCTCTATTTCTGTGCACCTCCCACGCATACATGAGATTCAGAGCCTTTTCATAACCCATAGCCGCCCCATTTCAAGATGGAAATCCGTTACGACCCAAACATTTGTGCAGCACGTGCGCGGATAATGTCAGGAGTGCGTTTAGCAGATCAAACAGCTTGTCTCAGATGACGACAGCCGGGATGTGCGCTGCTGCCAGTTAATGTGAGCAGACCTGAGCTGGACAGGAGCCTCTTGGGCTTTCTCAGCAGCGTCCTGTCTGTCCTTCGACTAACAAGAGATCAGCGTTTTCCCATCTCCATTCATCCTCCGACCACGCGCTGCGTCAACGCGTAATGACATTTGCGTGTGCTTAAAAACATAAACAGAACTTTCAATTAACTATTTGATTTTAACTTAATAGATAACTTAATATGATTCCAGCAGGATTTACTCCGCACCAGAGCAGGGGAAGCCTGGGAGGGGAAGGGTTCCTCCAGGTTGCCTCTGTCGTCGTTCTTCCCCTCTGAGCTCATTTAACTTTGAAGGAGGTCGGTGAAATTTCATCAGCTTCAAAAGCACACTCAGTAAAGCTGGTGCCAATTTTTAAAAGGCCCAGTTTCCAGAAAGATTACCTAGGACCCTCTTTTAAATCCTGACTAAAGAAACGCCTTTTAAACAACGAGCGCAAATGTATTCTGGTGGAATTCATTTAAATTACAAGATAAAAACAAACTGTTTCCCTTACTTGTAAAAGTATGTGCCTGGGTGATTACAAAGCCCCTCCGGAAACACTTGTGTGGGTTAAAAGTGTGTCTATAAAAGCATTCAAACGTTTTCACTTAGTTCATTTTTTTTTCTTTTTTCTTTTAGTCTGGGTGAGTTATTACGCGCGCGCCTCTCCATGCGCCCTGTGCTTTTTCATGCGTTCCAGCGCACGTGCGGCGCCGCACTCACCTGCGTTCCTGAGCTTCTTGTTCCTGTACACGGAGAAGATGACCAGGAGGTTTCCCAGGATGTCCACCACGATGGTAAAGATGAGGAAGCAGCCCAGAGTGGTGGTGACCCACGGCGGGCGGCTCACGGTCGGGTCTGCGGAGCTGTTCAGATGAGACCCATTCATGAACATTGTGCGGAACTTGTCCCACCTGAGCAAGTCTGCGCGCGAGAATCCTAAAAAGTGGACGGCGGTGGGTTGAAACTAAAGGCTGGTTTCATCATTTCCACGCGTGCCTTTTCCATTCCCCCTTACCACCTCCTCCTCCACCTCCACCAGCTCCTTGGTTCTCATTCAGCTCTGGAGAGCCAGCCGCTGCTCTGCTCGCCTCGGAGTCACTCCTGCGCCCGCGTGCCATTCACTTTGTTGGTACGCATGTGTGTATGCCATGGAGCTGCCACTTCAAACCTTCGCAGCATGTGATCAAACAAACCCAAAGAGAGGCAATTCTCACTCCCAGGGAGAAACACTGTCGCTTGGTGGCTGCGATGCGGAAAAGCACCCGTGCGGCTGTGTCCTACTTCCTTTCATTCATGGCTTATTGCGCTTGCATTATTTCAGAAGCCCATTCATTATTATTTTAAAGAATCATTCATTAGACCTCTTTACTTTCTGGATCGAAGCCAAATGTGAGCCACAAACACGTCTTTAAATCATTCATTAACTTCCAGCATAAATCTTGTATTCTCTGTTTTTTTTTCACCGAAGAAAAGAATCGCCAGAAAACGCAGACTTGATGTGATTTAATCACATGTACATTTTCCATGTAAGTTTTAAAGTAATTGAGAGATGCACTTGTTCTTAGGTTCATGATTATTTGAATTGTGTTTAACTTAAATAGCAGTTGTGATTTTATAAACATGAAAACTCACATACAATTTTAAGGTGATTAAGCTGGTCAATTTTTTTTTTTTGATTTATTTATTTTTTCTCGGGTGGGGTGGGGGGCAGGAACGGTTTGTGCCTCTTTAGCCTAAATTACACACCGGAACTTCACAGCCCGCTAGGAGATTTTGTAAAGTTCTAAAAGTGGGATTTGTTTAGGGTTTACTAAACGTGCTTAGTTTAGGTTACCACTAGATTAGAATTTTGTTCATCTGTTTTGATTAAAAAAAAACAGTTGTGTTTACGGGCAAAGAATTTTTTTTTACACGTTCCACTGAAAATCAAGGCTGCATCACATTTTTCTCTCCTTTTTGACTTTAGGTAACACAAACGGACATCATAAACTAATCAGCTATCATTTGTGTCAGACGCACCAGTATGATTAGAGAAAACATGGTAGATCTGTACAAAGCACAGCTATTATCCCATTGTTATTGAGTGATGTTCCAAATAAATGGGTTAACGCCTTTTAATGCACATAAGCAGCTTCTGAGAGTGCACGGCTAGCAGAATCAAAGTGTGGAACCCACAAGCAGTTTTTTGTGCTGCAGATGTAAGATGATGCAAAAATAAAGCTTGTATCAGAAAACTACAGTTTTTGTCTATGTCTACTGTTCTTGGTGTTACATGGAGTCACTGTGGCATGAATTCTGTTGTGAGACTGTAATTGAGAGACAACTAACGTAAATGCAATAACCCCCAAACACACACGCACATACACACGTACGCGCACACACACACACATACACGCGCACACCCCAATGACACACACACACACACACACACACACACACACACACATACATCCTCTGGTCTAGCATTTATTGTGAGGACCATCACTGACCTCCATTCATTTTAGTGACTGGATAGTGCCTAACCCTAACTAAAGCTTAATCACAAATAGCATTTTACTTCTACATTGTGAATAGTAATGAGTAATATGTAATGTAGAGAGTATGGTTTGTTTTATTAAATTGTTCTTTATCGCTGTATGGTCTTCTGGTGTATTGTCACTCATTTTGAATTTTTTTAACTCAATGACGTCAGATAGACAAAAACAAATTGACAACAGAGATGAGGTAAAGTGAAGACGAGTTTTAACGGCATAGACAGACGACTTCAGTTATTCACACAGCTTAACAACAAGCTATTATAACAGAACAAGAAAACAACAGGTAGCAGCAGCAGGTAACATCAGGTAACAACATCTAATTACATCATCAAGTAACAGAATGTTTTAATTTGGAGGGGTGTCCTTTCAGCCTATCATACAATGAAATGAAACAGAACAAAATTATATATTATTATTATTATTATTTCAAAAATGAAAGTGACAGAAAAAGCTGATCATGACCTGTGACCCTGCAATCAGAACAATGGGAAAAAATCTAGCACAACTACAGCTTTTTTCTGTCACTTTCATTTTTGAAATAATATAAATGATTAAACATTCCACACCATTAAATTTCCCTTTTAATTTAATTATCATGGGTATTTAGCAGAGGTGTGGACTCGAGTCACATGACTTGGACTCGAGTCATTATTTTGATGACTTCTGACTTGACTTGATAACATCTATAAAGACTTACAACTTGACTCGGACTTGAACGCCAATGACTTGCGACTTGAATCGACTTGCATCTGTTGACTTGATGGTGACTTGAGCATATTTAATATTTTAGCACATAAGTGACACGATTGTCACGTTAAGGGGATGGTTAGGACCCAAAAATGCAGATACCCAGGATGACTCGAGGCAGGAGTTGATGTAAAGAATAAATCCTTTTATTTGTAGGATGACAACAAAAGTCAATCCAAAAGGCTGCAAGCCAAAAGTCCAAAAGTCCTGGAGCACAGGACACCGAAGGCTCACTTAGAGCACAAAGTCTGGGGACGAGACAAAAGGCTCACACAGAGCAACAGAAAACGCTGACATACAAACAACAATGGACCGACAAGACACTGAGACAAGACAGGGCTTTGTACACTGGGGCATAATGGGAGGATGATGAGCTGCAGGTGTGTGGGGAGAGAACCAGGTGAAAGTGATAACTAATCAGGGAGGAGGAGCAGGAGAGGACACCAGACCTAACTGGGAAAGGACACACACGCACACACACACACACACACACACACACACACACACACACACACACACACACGCAAAACTGGAATAATAGACCTATGGAAATGATGGTGGGGAGACTGAAGGAACACAGGACCTGAGAGGGAATATCTGGAGGGCTGAAGACCAGGGGACACAAGAGGAACACACAGACACAGACATAGGCCATGACAACAACATGGACAAAAATCATAAATCATTCTTGGTTCTGGGTTTGATTTACTGCTAAATGCAGCAGCACTTTGCTTATAATCACTTTCAGTGGCACTTTCTGCTTGTTAGAGCAAATAAATGAAGCTTTAAGAAGCTTTATTTCTGGAATTTATTTATTATCATCGTCATTAAATTGAAGTTATGACAGATGACTTGATTATGACTTGAAAGTTAAGGACTTGGACTTGACTTGGACTTCCAGATCATTGACTTTGGACTCGACTTATACTTGGTTGTCTTTGACTTGGACTTGAGTCGAGAATTGACTGGAAAGACGTGACTTACATGTGACTTGCAAAGCAGTGACTTGGTCACAATTCTGGTAGTTAGAGTCAGTGCCTCGGTAAACAATGCAATTTAACCATTTCCACTTGAGGCCAGAACGCACTCTCACCATCCTTCTGCTCTGCGTAAACCTGAACTGTTTGTGCGTAATTAAATGTCTCCAGGGAAAAAAACTACAGCCATGAGGTTCACTTTTGCCTCAGACAGACTTGTTGCTGTTTTATGTTCTGACTGAATCTGCGATGCGCTGCCACATGGACTGGAATAACATTTGCTCCTGCAGTAACATGAGTTGCAGTGAACTCATGAAGAGGCTGATCTGGAGCGGGCTTTCATACGTGATCCCAAAACAGAAGATAATATTTCAATTTGACCTGGAATGGAAAATGTTGATATTTAAACCTCTTATATGCTTTCATCACGGAGGAGGCAGCGCTCATCTCTGCCTTCAGTCTGACGGCGCAGCGCCGGAGTTTGCGCATTGTAATAGGAGGCTGTTCTGGCTTTGCCACTGGTCCACGCAATGACAAACTACCCTTAAATGTAGTTTTAGAGGTGTGGTGTGAGTTAACTTCTGATTTAGCTTACAGTTAGGAACAGAACTGCACTGGTTAGGGTACAGGTTAGGCATAGTGGAGTCACTAAAAGGAATGGACGGTCCACAAGGATACGGGAACACGTGTGTGTGTGTGTGTGTGTGTGTGTGTGTGTGTGTGTGTGTGTGTGTGTGTGTGTGTGTGTGTGTGTGTGTTGTTTGCTACATAATGAACCTCCTAACCTTGTAAAAGTTTCAAACAGATCTGTAATAAATGAGTTTCTTTGTAACGGTGTTTACCTTTTAAAGTCTGGCCAGTTCAGGACGGCAGCAGACAATAAGCATTCCTTCAGACTGTTTTTGCTCATTTCACATCTATTTGTTGCTGTCTTTAGCCTTGTCCCAACTGTTCTCTGGGTTTGTCAGTTTTCAGCGTATATTATAGTGACTTTGTTCTCAGGTTGGGACCAGTTTCTCAGCTGTTTCTGTGGAGCATCCAAAGCCAGCAATTTCATTACTGCACCGTGCTTGCTAGGTCAGCTCATTTTTCAGGTAGTGTTTTGGTTTCTGAAACAAATTCAGCTTTACTTTGACAATAGTTCTAGAAGAAACACCGTCCCATTCTTATCACCTTTAAACAACTCCTTTAAAAGGATCAATTATAATAATCCCAGAACTTTTAATCAACCTCACTGGTTTTAATGATATTTTACCACCAGCTTAGATGTATGCTGTAAATGTCAACTGACACAATGCAAAACATTTATCATCTGTTCTCAGTCATTTCTCAGTTTTAAACTGTAGGTGAGCTTTTTTCTCCTCACTGAACAGACCAACGCTTCAGGAATATTTAAAAATCTAAAAGCAAATAAATGAAAAAGAACACAAACAAACCAAAACAACAAATACAGTTTTGAATAATTACAGTTATTTGAGCAATGCAAACACTGAAAACAATAAATTTGAGAATAGAAGTCTCATGATGGAGATGAACAAGACAGATATTTGTTCTGTCAATTTGCTTATAATAGATTAAAAAAATGAAGCATAGGTGGAATAAGTAGGACAGCTTGTGATCTGAACTATCTGTAATTCAGATCTGCGGCCTGGGATCAGTATACTGCTGTCTGCTTGCTAGATGGTAATGAAGTGTGTGGGTATTTTAGAATGAGCTCAAATTGAAATTGCTGTTACTTATTGTAAGGAAGAGACTTGCCCCTCAAATCCTGAAAACCATGACGAGAAATCCTGGTTATTCCAAATTAACGTGCTACTGTGTATATGATAAAACTCATTACAGATTTAT